TTTATCACTTTTATTTTAAAATTTTCTATATTTTTTTTTTCCCCACTTAATTGTATTCCTATCACATAAGGGCTTACAAACCCCTATGTGATAATTTGGAGGTGACAGGTTCTCTTTATGGAACCTGCCCTCCAACACAGAACAGATGTGACAGCTGAGACAGGTGGTGCTTTGATTACAGCGCTACGGACCCAGTAATCACACACAGCAGACGAAGAATGGACGTTCCTCGTCTACTCTACAGGCTCTATGGCTGAGCCGTTGTGCCATGTTCTCGGGTCCCCCAGAAAAGCAGGGGCCCCTGAAAACCACGGCAGGGGGTTTGGGCGGGCACGATCGCTGCTGCTCGATTGATACCTAGTTACATAGTATTTGAGGTTGAATAAAGACACTTGTCCATCAAGTCCAACCTATTGTGTGATTACAGCTCCACGGTCTCGGAGATCACACAAAGCAGACGAAGAACGGACGTTTTTCGTCTGCTCTACACTCTCTATGGCTGAGCCGTGGTCTCGGGTCCTCCAGAAGAGTGGGGGACCCCGAAAACCGCTGCAGGGGCGGACACAATTACAGCTGATTTTGTGATAGTACAAGTGATCGGATCAGATCACTTGTACTAAAAGAGCGGCGGCTCCCCACTGAACATTTAGCCCTGCTTGTCTGAAGCAGGGCTAAATGTACAAAAAAAACCTACTTGCCTGGCGCCCGAAACTGCATGTCCCCGGCGTTGGGCGATAGGAATTTCACCCTCCTGATATCTAAAGCAAAGAATGTGTGCATGCTTCCTGTATAATCTAAAGTTGCAGAGCATTTCCTGCTTCCTGTCAGAAGCATGCAGTGTCTGCATGGTGACACAGACAGGCATTGTTCGGGTGGGCACCTGCACACACATACATAGTGTTGGGACAGGCACCACCCGCACACAGCGTTGATCAATTTTTCAACTGGCCTGCTGTCTGATGCCTACATTTCAGCCAACAAAGATTCCATTCATTTAAAAAAAAATCTCTGTCCAACTGAATAATGTTATGCCTTGGTATTAGCGTGAGCATTGTTTGAACTATTTGTAACCTGTATAATTCTGTATATATAAAATTAAAATCTACTGCTAATACTGTATGATAGGATGTGCCGAGCTATATAGCATGTACTGTATGTTATATCATTTATAAGATGTTGAGGCTTCTAAGGCAATGATCTGTGATTGTTTTGTCCTTCTAGAAAATGATGCGTCCTGTCACTAACAATAATGTAACTTTCTGTGGAAGTGGCAAATCTTGCCTCAGCCAAGACAGCATGAGAAGTGTAGAACAGTTTGGCTTGTACACCACCCAGCAGAGCAAATACAGCCATACTGTCAGCCAAAAGACTATTTCCTGCCAGACACAAGAAACTATAAATGAGGCACATTTGCAGACCTCAACCAGTAGGGATCTGGACACGAAAAATGATTTAAAGAAAAAGAAAACCCTTGGGAGATCTGGAAAGCGTGGAAGACCCTCTGGGACCACCAAATTGGCAGGATACCGAACCAGCACTGGAAGACCTCTGGGGACCACCAAAGCTGCCGGCTTTAAGACAAGTCCTGGCAGACCACTGGGCACAACCAAAGCTGCTGGATACAAAGTCAGCCCAGGGAGACCTCCAGGTAGCATAAAAGCTCTATCACGGCTTGCAAATCTAGGTTACACAAGTAACAATGCAGCTTTCCCCTACCCCACAGCACTTAACAGAGGACTCCATTCTGTTGTGGATACCAACATCAAACACCCCGTTGAGTAAAAGTCATTTAGTATGAATGTTGAGAAAATATCAGATGCTTTTATCATCACATTGTTGTCTTTAAAATTTCTTTAGAATAGAAATTCTGTTCATTTGCATCACACTTCAAGATGGCATATAAGCAGGTTGTATCTGCATCATTAGCTTACATATTGCCCTTTTCTATTTGTCTGTGCTGACTTGTATAACTTATTTTGCCTGAGGGGCGAGGGGTAGTTTAATTTTTTTTAAACTTTGCATGCAATGTTAGTTTAGAGTATATGAATTATTCGCATATGAGCAAATGTGTGTGATTTTTAAAGTTATGCTAATTAATGCAAAAACAGCCATAAAAATTAGAGGGAAGATTAAGAGGTGAAAGAATAATACCAAATATACAAATGCGTTGTCACTGTATGATCACATACAATGTAGCCAAAAATGTAAGATAGAACAACCATAGAGACATGTACATGTAGTTTATTCTTTCATCATTCTGAAGTCTTTCTGAAACTTTTAAAGCACTTTCAAAAGGTGTAATGGATAGTGTAAATATGTCACATGCAATTATGTATTATATTTAAACCAGTATAAAATTTCACTTTTACAAATGTGTGTTTTATCCAAGGAACCAGAATTAATATTACTACACATAAACAAGGTCCTGACATAGTCCTATTTACTTTCTTTTGCCAGACACAGGAAGGTAATTACATAAAACGTGGAGAAAACCAAACTGTAAATGTTACCTGTCTAATTTCAGTTTGTCTTTCTTTTATCTTTTTCTCAGGCATATGGGAATAACAAATGTAATCTTTCTGGTTGCTCAGGCAACTATGATATTGATTTAATATATCTTTTTAAGCTAAACCAGTTTAAAAATGTACAGTGTATTGGTGTGCAACAATCTGTAGCAACCACATATACTGTATATCTCACATTAGTCTAACTTGGTCTGCAAAACCTTTAAAAGTGTAATCTCTGATTATTGTAGGACTTTCCAGGGGAGAGAGGCTGAACTCCCCTGGAGCCACACAACAGTAATTCCTGCATTTTCCTTTCCAAGCATACTGAAACAAAACCCTGCCCTAGGGGGACAGGAACAAAAAGACTGGGAAACTCAGGATAAGGAGGCGCTTATATAGGCTAAGGGTATAACATGTTAACCCTTTATTGTTCCTGTCAACTAGGGGGTAGGGGAACTATAACCAGTTTGTCAGCGCTGCCATGGATATGAACAGGAAATCATGGTTATTTGCACTATGATGCTAAGTCATTAAATGAGACATTTTCACCCTAGCCTTTTTTCACATCAAAAACAGTTTCATTGGTATAAATAATATTTGCCCGAGTTGGGCTGGGCATTTAAAGTATACACAGGCTACAGTGAATATATACTCCTTTGAGAAGTCATCCATTATATCCACAGTGCTCAGCTGGTAGCCTGAGGCTGCACACAGCTCTGCAATATTCTCATTTTTGTTTTTCCTGACCTTGACAATAAGAATAAAATGTTTTCCTAAAATGTATTTCATAGTAATAAACATCATTTATGGCCTTTGTGATGTTGGGGTTAAAAAATTAAAACAATGCCTTTTAACAGCTCTGGATTGTGCATATGGTATTTCTGCACAACTGGGGCTGGTGGTTCAGCACTAGTGAGGATTCCAAGGGCTTATTTTTTTCTCATTTATTTTAGCATCATTGCAATTTAAAGTCAAAATGATCAGTTAATACAGATATATTGGCAGCTGTTACATGCAAATTTTGGATTCTTCTACCTTCTTGTTGGTCATTGAGACCAATCATCATTTTAAAGGCTCAGTAAAGAGGCGTAAGTAGTAAGAGAGGGTGAAGCAAAGCACAATTTAATGCGGTTCTTCACTGAAGGTGACCTACGTAAGTATATTGGCAGGAACAGGAAGGTCCATCTTTTAAAGCTTAGCTTTTCACAAACTTCAATAGTTTTAATCCAGATTAACGGTTTTAATTTTCATGGATAAACCCCTGGTCATCTATGAATAATTTTCCTCTTAGGGCAAAAAAAATCCTTGCTAACCCCACAATTCCTCGGTTAAGAATAAAAAACCTTGGTAATCAAACCATTAACTACTATTAGAATTAAATTAGAGGCATAATGAACCTGCATATATTTATTTATAATTGGTCAGGACCTTTGGCTCTTGTTCACGTTTGCTCTGTCCTATATGTTTACAGAACTCAATTTTTTTGTGAACTGATATTTACACACAAATTCACAGACAGTTGTCTTTATTATCTAGTATTGTGCATAACTGCAGACTGAAAAGCAGCCTTCTTCTCTCCACCATCCCACATCCCTTTGTGACAACACTGGGGCCTGGTGATTGGCTACTCTGCCCCAAACTCTGCACTGTGGGATTGTGGGGAGGCAAGTAGGATGTCACATGCTCCCATATAGACTGAGGGTTCTATGATTTTTACAGAGCAGCTGTGAGGGTGGTGGTATAGGTAAGTATAGGCACTGGAATATGCCAAACACTGGGTACATGAGTAGGAGATTTTTTCTTTATCCTCTCTTTCTGTATTGAATCCTTTTTTATACTGATAATAGCATTTCCTTTCCCCATATGCAACTGGTGTTCCTTTGTTCTTTGAACAATCCATGAATTGGCCAGGTTGGTTATAGGGTTACTTGAGAGATGCTGAGGCTGCAATGAGGTTCCAACACTTCCTACACTGCCATTGTACAAGTACACTTCACAAATTGATATGGCAGTTCAGACTGATGTAGTTATGTTATTCAAAGATATTATGTGATGTTGGTACACACCAAGTTGCATTTTATGTTTCAGGTAGTCATTTTCAAACAAGAAAAATAAGTGTGGCTTTAAGAGAGAATTCCACTCATTGGATTTGAGTGAAAGAAGGTGTTAAAGGACAAGGAATGACCTAGCCCCTTCAAATGCATAAGCTGAACCCCCCCCCCCCCCC